TAAATAAATGGTGTGGCTTGGGCATTTATATGTGGCCACTGGCAGTGGGACCAAGATCTAACCCTAATGCATGAACTGACTTTGTGGAGCACATTCTTTATGGAGAGATACCTTGCTCAGTCTAGGCAGTGGGATGGGGGTGTGGGGGTGGGCTTGGTCCTGCATCAACGAAGTGCTGGGTCAAACTTAGTTTACTTCCCAGGGGAGGCCTCACCACCGACTCTGTGGAGCAGAGGAGGGTTGGGGTGCGGTGAGGAAGAGAAGAGGGGAGTTGAGATTAGTATGCAATGAATGAATGAATGAATAAATAAATAAATAGGGTGAAAAGCAAAGGCAAGAAGGGAGAAATATGACAAAACCTAAAACAAAATGACCCGTGTAGGTATGAAGAATCTTGGTGACTTTTCTGTATGTTTAAAAGAGCAGGCCTGTGCCATCTGTAGTAATTTATCAGTTCCAACTTTTAGTGTCTTTATGATTTTTTCACATTAGCAATATTGCTTAAAGGATGAAAATGTAACATTAGCATCCATACAACAGTCAGCTGCTTGTCTGTCAGCAGCCTGATGGAAAGGCATCTGGAAGCTGTGACCACAGTTGTTTTGTTACAGGTCGTTGCTTCATGTCATTTTCCTAAGAAGTGTGGTCACTGAGGCAGCTGTAATACCTTATATTATTGATGGAAATCAGAAATTACTCTTTCAGCTTCATTATGTAGTTTCCTTGACATATTTTGATACTTTAGAAGGAGCTTTGGAGTCATCTTTCTTATCAGATGTTCATCTTTTCATGTAAATAAACTGCTGCTTCTATAATAGAAGTATAGCACACAGTCATTAACAGCACAGCCTACCTTTTTAAAGAGATCTCATTCATTTCGTGCATTTGAGGGAGGGGCATTAGAGAGTGAGCCTGAGGCCTTAGCCCTTGACTAACTCTGTGCCTCACCTGCCCTGTCTTTTCATAGGTCCCTTTCCTCACCCTAGATCTCTGCTATCCTTTCTGAAGGTGTTTCTTTTTGTTTGTTTTTGTTTTGTTTTGTTTTTTGGGTTTTCAAGACAGGGTTTCTCTATATAGAGCCCTTGCTATCCTGGAACTTACTTCGTACACCAGACTGGCCCTGAACTTCTAAAGATTTGCCTGCCACCTCTGTTTCCTTAGTATTGGGATTAAAGGCATACTGTGTGTACTAAATTTGAACGAGTCCTGTGTGCATGCACATTTATAGAGATCATAGTAAATGTGTATATTCATAATACGTGATTTCATTTTGTTTCTGAAGCTTTGTATATAATAATCTATGGAAGTAGTTAGATCTGTTCCTTTAAATTATTTTTATGTGTTTGAGTTTCAAATTGTGTTTTGTTTGACATTGATTTCAATAATGCCTTTAAGAAATTCCTAATTTGTATGTTCTTTGTTTTCTTTAACAAATTATAATTGATCAGAAGTATTAGCATATGTCATGAATCCTCTATGAAGTATTGGTAATGAGAGACAATTTAAAATACAAATATTCTGAAATTCAAATGTCCTGATATTGGATTTTGATAGTTATTTTTTATATATTGAACTTGTAAGAATGAGTACAATTTTGAGTATTTCAGTTTTCCTCAAGGTAATTAGAGTTCTAGACAGAATGTCCTAGAGGAAGCAAACCTTTATTTTAGACTTTCATACCTATGGTTGATTATTGATTTGCTTTTTATTAACACTTGGTTTTTACTGTGGAAAGTTGAGCTGTATGAGAGCAGTTTTTTGTTTTTGTTTTTGTTTTTTTTTAAACACTGAGAAATTCTTTGAGGATGTTAGTGTCTCCCTATTGTATCCAGCTTTAAAACATTGGATATTTATTAAAAGGATTTGCCCCTAGTCAGATGTAGCTGATGACAGGAAACTAGGTAAAGCATTCATCTGATTAAATTTCCTAATGGTTCAGCTGCGGTGTCCTGGAAGGGGACTGGCATCTACACAGAGCGGCAGGTTGCCGAGGAGTGATTGCTTGGAGACGTTTTTACAGCTGAATCTGGGCTTTGTGTGATATCTCACCTTTTTTCTTAAGTCTACCTAATGTTAGTTTTGGTTTAGAAAGTTAAAGTTGAATTTAATAAAGAATAGTATTCAGAAATAAAAATTTAATTTCTGTATGAATAGGAGGACTAGAAAATTTCATGGTTGACACTTGGTGCATGTGAAACTGGGGACTGAAATGACGACCTGTATATTCTAATCATGTGTTGAGCTATGTTCCAGTCCTTATTCCGTGTTTTTGTTTTGAGAGGGTCTTGCTAAGTGAGCACTGTTGGCCTTGAACTCAAGTGTAGTCCAGTAAGCCTCAAACTTGCAATTTCCCTGCCTCAGTTCCCAAGCAGTTGGAATATAGGTCTGTACCACGAACCCTAGTTAACATTTTCCCTCTGTATGTGAAATTCAAATCTTTATTTGGACCATAACAGTGTCCATAATGCGTTGTATAAAATGTATTAATGTGTGAAACAAAGGTATTAATAAAAATTAAAATGTAGAATACTTTAGCTAAACTCAAGATTTTGTATACTGGAATTTTCAGTGTTGACAATGATGCTGGTGTTGGTGCACAAGGGCAGGTGAAGTGTCCTGGACTTCGCTGGGGTGGTCATCCTCCCGGGACACACTGACAAAAGGAAGGGCCGCGGAACAGCTTCTAACAGAGAAACCCTTCAGAGCTTATTTGTTGTTTCCTGAGGTGATTTTCTCCTCTTAAGTTCAAAACTCAGCAAAAGTGACCCTGAAATGACATTTATTCTCAGATAGTGCTCTAGAATTTCATAGAATGGTTCAAGGATTTGTCTTTAATTAAAAGTGCTATACACTTAGTACGAGTCCGTGTTTGTTGAGAAATTGATTCTTTTTGAAGGGAAGCTGCAAACTTTCCTTGTATGGGTAAATGTCACTCTATTCATATCTTCACTTAGCTGCAAGTCAGTATGTGTTCTGTTCCACCAGGTTGTCATAGTAACACAGTAACTGTCATCTCAACTCAGACTGTTGATGGTTTTATTTGTAGGTTTGTAGGATTATTAAAATTTAACAAAATTATTGATTTGCTTTTTATTAACACAGAGTTATTTACCATGAAAGTTCAAGCTGCACGTTTTTTCTGTTTAATTTTTTTTCCTAAAATTAAAGTGAAACTAGATATTAAATCCTTGTGATTAAATTTTTTTTATTTAAAATGTAATATAGAGTCTGCAATAGCAGAATAACCTCTGTGAATTGTAGTTTTGACTCATTTCCTATTTTCTTTCTTTTGACAAGGAGGCAAAGAAAAAAGGCTTAAAATTCACCTTTAGCTTACTCTTAAGTAAACATAAAGGATACCTGTCAGGAAAGCATGAAATGGTACATAAAGTGCCTAATACTGAGTTTTCGTTTTATTTATGGTTTTTGAAACCTTGTGGGAATGCTTCACTGAACTGTGTTGTAAACGTATTTATTTTGGTATATTTATGTGAGCGAGATTACTTAGTTTTCACTTATAAATAAGGCAGGCAAGCCTTATTTACAGTAAGCTTCTCTAATGGTCCGTGGATGAGTGCTTTTATGCAAAATAGTTGGGAGGCTAGAATTAACTTTCTCATTGAGTGCACATTTGATGTCCACTTGAGCAACATGTGGCATCTTATTCTAAGGGCTGCTGTTGAGGATTCAATTTGTATTTAACACATTTCCCTTGGAACACAGCTCACCTGCATGACATCTAATGTTTCCTTTTGAGTGTCTCATTCTTCCTGGGAGATACAAAAGGGTTTATTGTTTTTATAATCTTTCCAGTTTATTTTTTTAAAGACTTGGTTAATTAGCTGTGTCATATATCAAAACAGATCAGTCTGGGGATATTACAGCTTCAGTGTGGGTTTATTATTTTGTGGTATCTTTTCCTCTTCCTATGGAATACTGTGCATTATACTGTGTATTTTGTTGCTCTTAGTTCTCAGTCATGGAAAGTTAACATAACAGTATGTGTACAGACCCTGGTAGAATACTTTGTTACTCAAAAGCTGGTAGCTTGTATGCTCTTGAGCTTAGGAATGTTCATTAGTGTTCATGAAATGTTTCTTTTAAATGTTTTATTAATATTCTTGTAATTGTATGATGCCCCTCCCCACAGTCCTCACAGCCTCTTATTTATGTTCTTGTGTCCTCTCCTGCCACATTGAATCATGACTGACCCATAAGATCAGTAGAATTTTGTAGATGTGAAGTGTGCAACCTTCGAGGCTAGGCCTAACAAAGCACAAAGCTTTATTTTGTTCGCTCTTGGATGCATTCCCAGTGGGAGAAGCTGCATGCTTTTGAGGTGTTCAGGCAGCCCAGGGAAAGCCTCATGAGTAAGGAAGTGAGTCTTCCCACCAAAGTCAACACTAACCTGCCAGTCACTGTGTGAGCTGCGGTGGGGCCGATGCCTTCTTTTTTAGAGTTTCATTCATGAGCATAATGAATTTACATCATATCCCTCCTCGTTCCCCACTCCAACTCCTTTCCCCATCCCTCTCTCAAATTCATGTCCTCTTCATATATGAAGCGATTGAGTCCATTTAGTGTTGTCCACAGTGCATGGGTGTAGGGCTGACTTCCTGAGCCATCACAGCTCTTGGTTTGGGAACTTTGTCTTAAACTTACAAATGTAAAATTATACCTCTTTCAAATCACTATAGTGTTATAGCTATCTCCGATTTTTTGATTTGTAGTTATCATCATGAGGATGGAGAATATCTTAGATACTATACCACATAGTAAGGTTGAACGTACAGTTATTTACAATACAATAGTAGTTGAATTTATTCCTCCAGTGAAACCGTATATGTAGTTGGCAAAGAGAAACAGAAATCTTAACCTGTATCTACAGTTGTAGTCTTTAACACTGAATGAAGAAATTGTCTCTTGTTATCCGTAAGTACATTTTGAGTCATTCAGAACAAAGCCACAGTGACTACAGTGTTCCTCTGCTTTTCATGCAGGAAGAGAGCGAAGAGGAACCCAAACTGAAGTATGAAAGGCTTTCCAATGGGGTGACGGAGATTCTGCAGAAGGATGCAGCAAGCTGTATGACGGTTCATGACAAGGTAATGAGCACGCAAAGAGGATTGCACATGTCCAACATCTGTGTCCCTGCAATGGCAAAGGTCTCTCTGACATTCTGAGACTACTCTAGGTATTGGGTCAGACCCTCAGTCTATTCTTAAACAAAAGAATTGTTTATATTATAATAGTGGAGGCCATGATTTCCCCCTTGCTCTCTTCTTCCCTGTGAGCCTGGGAGTGAGCCTTGGACCATCCTCACCTCTGATGTGTCCTTTGCCTTACGTTTTGTTGTTTCCTTCTCCAGCTGGCGTTTGTGCTTCAGATTTTATTCACTCAGTGCTTTGATGATAATGTCTGCTCTTTTGCTTTTACCATAAATTCTCTCCTGTGAGTCTCCTGCCTTCTCTGACTGTCACGCCATGGCTGCTGAACTCTAGCTAACTCCTTGTTCTTCACAGATGAAGACTGATCTTGCAGTTCTTCAAACTCACTTGCTTCCATTGACTTCACTTTTTTTTGTATTTTTTTATTAAAAAATTTACTTTTCATTTTACATACCAACCCCAGTTCCTCCTCCCTCCCCTTCTCCCAGCCCCTCACTCCCCCCCTAACCATTCCCCATCCACTCCTCAGAGGAACTTCTTTATGGTTGTCTTAGTCACCATAATCTATTGCGGTGAAGAGACACCATGACCAAGACAATTCTTTTTCTTTCTTTTTTTAGTATTTGTTAAGACTTAATTTTTTAAAAAAGAAAACAAACTATCTTTATTCATTACACGTACCAATCCAAGTTCCCACTCTTTCCCTTTCTCCCATTTTCTCCGCACACCCTCCTACCCACCCCCATCCACTCCTCAGAGAGGGTAAGGCAAATTGCTTTGGGAAGGTCCAAGGCCCTCCCTACTGTATCTAGGCTGAGCAAGGTATCCATCCAAAGAGAATAGGTTTTCAAAAATCCAGTACATGCAGTATGGATAAATCCTTGGTCCTATGCTTCTTCCTTCCCAGTCCAGCTGGAGTTGGTGAGCTCCCATTAGCTTACGTAGACTGTTTCAGTGGGTGAACCCATCATGGTCTTGACTTCTTTGCTCACATTCTCATTCCTCCCATTCTTCAACTGGACATTGGGAGCTCAGTCCAGCGCTCCAATATGGTTCTCTGCCTCTGTTTCCATCAGTTGCTGGCTGTTTCCATCAGTTCTATGGTGATATTTAAGACATTCATCAGTCTGACTACAGGGCAAGTCAAGATCGGGCCCTCTCTCCTCTATTGCTTAGGGTCTTAGCTGGGGCCATCCTTGTGGATTCCTGGGAATTTCTCTAGAGCTAGGTTTCTTGCTCACCCTATAATGGTTCCCTCAATCAAGATATCTCTTTTCTTGTTCTCATTTCTGTCCTTCCTCCATCTTGACTATCCAATTCTCTCAAGTTCTCCTCACCTCTGCCCTTCTCCCCTCCTCTTCTCTTTCTACTCTTCCTTCTCCCCCACCTCCATGCTCCCAATTTTGTCAGGCGATCTTATATGTTTTCTCTTTCCAGGTGGATCTATATATGTTTTTCTTAGGGTTCAAACCAAGACAACTCTTACAACAGAAAGCATTTAATTGGAGACTTGCTTACAGTTTCAGAGGCTTAGTCCATTATCATCATGACAGAGCACATAGCAACAGGCATGTGCGATACTGGAGAAGTAGCTGAGAGCTACACCCTGATCTTCTAGCAGAGAGGAAGAGCCTGACCTGGCATAGGCTTTTGAAACCTAAAAGCCCAACCCCCAGTGACATTCTTTCTCCAATAAGGCTACACCTCCTAATCCTTGTAATGCTACTCCCTGGTGACTACACACTCAAATATAGGAGCCTATGGTGGGGGGGCTTCTTATTCAGACTACCACACTGGTGCATCTCCCACTGCCAGGGCTACATTAGAGATGATTTCAGTAGCTGGAACTTGGTGATATTTGGCCTGCATCATTCTGTCTTGAAATCTTCATGTTCATTTCCACACAAACATAATTCTTGACGATGGTGTCCCAGTCTCTATTTTATTTTCTTGTTATCTGTCCTGTGAAATTATCCCGAATGTGCCAGTCTCCCTTCTCCATCTTTCTATCTTTCTAGTCACAGTCTCCGGTTTGAATCCATTGTGCGGTGCAAAGTAGTCACGGCCCCAGGTCTCCTGCTCCGCCTTTGCTCTCTACTCTCCGAAGATGTCAGCCTCTTTCCCGTGCCGTTGCCTTCCTCTCCCCATCTCCTTTTGCTTTCTCTTAGATTTTTACAGCTCCCTTAAACTCATGATGTTGCTGCCTTGACCTCCTGAATGTTTGCATTACAGATGTGCACCGGAACCCCCATGCAGTCTCATTTCTTTAAGGAAGTTAAACAATGATGCAAGGTCGGCCTCGTTTCAGAGTGCATACCCACACTTACCCGCAGGAGATTTTCTTCTTCCAGGTCAAGGGTCTTTTGTCTACTTTGGTTCTTTATCTCACTTTGTCTTTTTCTTATATATTTGCTAAACCATAGAACATACTTAATATGAGCATTAGGTAGTTGCAATCTTCTTTATGTATTTATAAATGTTTTTTTATAGATTGCCTATTTAGGCTGTTTCAGATAAATGCAGTCATAGCTTATCTGATTTGTTTTGCCAGACTTACCTTACTTATATACTGTTTAGAAGTTCCTATATGTCATAACAGGGATCAATACTTTACTTTTTTACTGCTGAAGAATAGTCTGTTGTATGGTCAGCCATAATTTCTGTATCCATTAGCAGGACTGGTGGACATTTTGCTGTTTGCTGATTGTAAGTTGTGTGTTTCTCTTTTCAAAATTTCATCACAGCTGCCCTTTTAGTACCGTCTTGGTCATTTCTGGTTTTCCCCACTCTCTCTTCTACTTTTCTTTATTTCTGTTTTTCCCGACATTCTTCCTAAAACTGGCTCCTCTATGTTTCATTGTTTTTGCCAACATGCTGAGCTCTCAGAACAGCATGTGGCCTCTTCCTTTGTTCTTTCTATTGGAACCTTAGCACATACATGTTGGGATTATCTTCTTTCTAGACGCCTCTTCCTTTGTTCTTTCTATTGGAACCTTAGCACATACATGTTGGGATTATCTTCTTTTTTTTTTTTCTAAACGTGTACCTGTTTTGGGCTATGTGATGCCATTTTGGTGGCATCACCGTCTTCTGTGACCTAAGCCAAAAGTGACCCCTTTGCCCTTCCCCACAGCCATTCCTCACGTCTTGGTGACTTTGTTTTTTCTGAGCTTGAGCATTGGCTCTCAACTTCTCCTTCCTGCACAAGGTAAATGGGGACTCATCTGGCTCTCCTGTCTAGACTCTTCTGCCTCCTAGTTGTAGGATATTTTGTTGAAAGTACGGAACTTTTTAGATCCTTTTGTAATTTTTCTCATGTACATAGACGCTGAGCTCTTTGGTGTGGTATGGAAGGCACTGTAGGATCTTGCCTGCGGTGTGTAGCTGAACTCCTGTGTCACTACTTTCTGCTGTGGGTTTGGGACTGTGGCAGCAATGCTTTGGCCTTATTCGGCACATCACGCTCTTGCATGGATTCTGCATCCAGCTTATTTATGTGCTAGACTTCTCACCAGCTTCTGCTAGCTCACATTCACCGTTTCTCCCAAGGCTGTCGTCCCTACTGTGGACTAGTCTGCTCTCTTCCTTATTTGTCTTCTCGCTTCTCTTCCAGCCCTGTGCCCACAGAGGCCTCCAGAGAGTCTGAGCTGGTCATTCAGTCTTCTCCCGTGAAACGTCCTGATTCCTGATGTCTTAATGATTTGGTTCTGTCCACCCTGCTTTCCTCCACTTCCACCTTTCATCCCTCTGTAATTATTCAGTGCGCCTTGTTAGTCAGCCTTTCCAGCTGTACCGCCTGCGTTTTTCTCTTGGGGATGCGTTAGATGGATCTTTCATCTGTGTAAAGCTGCTTATAATTTTCTGTTCTTTGTTATGCAGCTTCATGTTGTTGAGCAAGTTGTTTCCACTCTGGCCTTTCTTCCCTGTCTGTGTCTGTTTTCTCATTCTTCCTTCCCGGTTTATCACACAACTCTATTTCCGTGGATCTTAGAGGTACTGCCACTTTAAACAGTCTTTACATTTAATTGCAATTGCTTATTTTTTACATGTGTCTTCCTCAGTGCAGCAAAACCTTTATTGCATTTGCTCATTGTCTAAGTACATTATAGTTGTTTTTGTGTGCTTGTTGAATGAACATTTGAATGCACGAAATGAAGAGCCATGTTTGTCCCTTTGTTAACACCATACATAACCAATTGGCCAGAGAACCTGGTAGTTGGAAAGGATTGTCAGTGCTGACATTTAGGACATAGACTCTCAGCTGAGCCCTATATTTTATTAAGAAGATTCTGATTGAGTTGATAGCATATCAGTGTTATTTGTGCTTTGTTTCTGCAGTTCTAGGAACTGAATGCAGGGCATAGCAGGCATATGCTTTGAATCCCAACTACCTCCTGGACCCTCCATTTCAGTATTTGTTTCTGTCCCTGATTGCACTCGGTACCTGTTTCTAATGAAATCTCGTCAGTTTCTGGGATCTAACACCTCGTGTAACTGGAGGTTGTCCTGGTGTCAGTACTTTGAATATTATAAAACAAGGGCTAAACAGACATGCATTGTGGTTCCTTTTTTTGGTGATTCTTTAGACCTGCTGACAAACCCATCTGTTTCACCCACATAGAGTTCAGTTGCGCAGAGTGGAAGCACTGCACTTAGTGGGGTAAGGTGCCCACCTTTTGTAAAGCAAATCAGTGTCCTTTAATTAAATGTTAGAGAGGACATTGAAGCTATATTTATGATTATACAGCCTAGATTTTACATATTTTCAGGCTAAAGAAAAAAGCAAAATCTAATACCTAAGAAGACCAAGGAGTTAAAAAAAAAGTATTAGGTTTTGGAGAATTTAATAAAATTTGTTTTAATTATATTCATCCTGTTTCTCTTATTCTCCCCATCCCCAGGTTTTCCCTCTTTTCCCCATCCACCCAACTCTATCAACAACTAAATTGTACTGCCCAAATATTCTTGGGGGTGAGGCCTTCCACTGGAGCATGGTCAATTTACTAGGGGTTACACTTTAGAGAAAAACTAATTTTCTCCTAGCAGCTAGCAGTTGCAATAGACCCCATGACTAGATGTGGGATTGTGTGCCCAGCTCCTTTCTCCATAGTGGGTTTGGTCTGGCTTGGGCTTGCCTTGTAAGTGCTCTGAGTACAGATGTGTACTTGCCTCGTTGTGTCCAGATGACAGTTTCCTTATAATCATTCACTACCTCTGTTGTAGTAGGAGCGGCAGGCTACATTCCTGGCACCCCACCCGCACGGCTAGCTTTACCCGAAATAATTACACGGAAACTGTATTCTTTTAAACACTGTTTGGCCCATTAGTTTTAACCTCTTATTGCCTAGCTTTAACATATTGATCTAACCCACTTTTAATATTTTGTTTAGCACCACGAGCTGCCTTACCAGGAAAGATCTTAACCTGCGTCTGTCTGGAGTGGGACTGCCTGACTTGGCTTCTTTCTCCCAGCATTCTGTTCTGTCTATTCCACCTACCTAATTTTCTGTCCTATCAGGCCAAGCAGTTTTCTTTATTAGTTAACCAATGAAAGCAACAGATAAGATACAAGACCCACCTCCATCATACCTCTGGCTCTTAAACTCTTCCTCGCCCACTTCGGCAGTGATTCATGAACCTTGGGAGGAGGGTGATACACATGTTTCATGTAAGGTCAAGCGTTCTGTGCCTTGACCAGGTTTTATTGCATTTATTTGTTTGTTTATTATCTGTATAGGTGTGTGAGATATTGTTTATGTGTATATACAGGCATGATTGAGCCATGGTGTATGTATAGAGGTCAGAGGACAGCTTGGAGGAGTTGGTTCTCTTCATACGCCGTGCAGATCCTAGGGACTGAACTCATCTGTCTTAGCAACAAGCACTTTGACCCTCTGAGCCCAGAGACTCACGGTTTTTAATGGCTAGAAGGAAAATAAAATTTGAAGGATTTGTTCTTACATATTGTGTCATATTGTGGACAATTATGTATTTTGCATTTTTGCTGCATTTTTAGTCAAAAGCAGAGGATTATATGAATTATCCATACTTTCAGTAATTAAATAACTTTGTTCAGCAAGTTAAATTTTTTTGAGAAGGACATTTAGTTGTTTTCGTCTAAGACACAGTAGCATTCGTTTACTGTTCTAAGCGGTTAAATATCTTTCTGAACAAAAGATAGCTCATCATACAAATATATATAAATTTTTTCATAAATGGTCCAAATTTATCATACCTTTATATCAAAAATATAAAATCCTAATTATATTTTACTATTTATCCTAAGTTGATAAAACAGATTTTATCAGAAAATTTTTCAGGAAAACATCTAAGGAATTATATCTAACCTCTAAATTTTTCCTAAAATAGAATGCAGTTATTTTTTAAATGGTCTTTACAATAATGCACAGAGTGACACAATATTGCTGCATTTTGAAGATTCAAACTCCCTTAGTTTTCTAACAAACTATATGCAGAATTTATGAGGAGAATCAATACTGTAAAGTACTTGGGGTGCAGTGAGCTTTTAAGACCCATTCTTTTACCGCAGAGAGACGTCAAATGGCATATCGCTTGCCTTTGGTTAGCATTTTATGTGGCATCTCCTGTTCAGATACAGTCAGTGTCACTCTGAAGATAAAATGACAACCACTTGGGTCCTCTAGTTCTGATTAGAATGTTCTTGTGCATTGGAGAAAGCATTCCTGCTTGGTTTAAATACTAGACTAATTTCGCACCAGGATCACCTCTTCTCCCTTTCTCCTGCAGCACCCGAGCCTCCTGTTTGCACCATGCTTGCTTTCTGCCCTGGATGACTAATCGTCATGGCACCTGGTGCATTCAGGCAGTCCTGTGCAGTGGAATCGTCATCCCTAGTTATGTCTGCACACCTGATGTTTTATTAACCAGTATTGATTTTTTTACCCAGGGGACTTTTTTCTTCCTGAAAAAAGGCAACCTTGCAGGAGTGAAAGGCATTGCAGGGGATGAATTTCTAATGAACCCCTTTCCCCCCTTTTTGTGGCTCCTCTTTAATGTAGCTTCGTATTTTAAGTGCCGGAATTGAAATTTCGTTTTTAGCAATTCTATTTTGATAAATCTTTTCAAATCTTGACTTCCCGTAAGGTTATTTTTTAAAGATTGTGCTGCTTGACTGAGATGCTTAGTAGTGCCTATGAATCTGAGCATTTCATTATAGGCTGCAATGAAGCATGCTCGCATGCAGTGAAATACAGGGGACTCGGGACGCTTTGAGTAATGCTTAGAGAAATGAAAAGGAAGAAAAATCTCATGTCGTATTTCAGGTAGTCCTTAAGTTTCTTCTGGCTTGTTTAGGATCAGTTCAGAGGAATAAAGAAACAGTGGGGTGTGTGAAGCAGTCCGGTGTCATAAAATAAATATGTAGTTGAGCAGTTACTTAGTGACAGGAAGGGATTATTTTTGCATTGGAGTATAAACATTTATGCTCAGTGTTATGTGGTACCATTTATAGAGATATCCTGAAGCTGTTGATACAAGAACATCTGAGGTTTTTCATACCTCAATATGGTGTGGAATTTTCCATTCAGAAACAATGCTTTATTGTTTTTACGCAGTTTCCCCTCATTGGGCTGAAACGACGGGCCTATATTTCCACATTTAACTTAAATTAGGGAGTTTCTTAATCATTTCCCCTGACTTTGGGTTCAGCTGCAGCATGTTTGAGCCTTTACTGCTGCATTTTTAATTTACTGCCCAGTCCATCAGGCACTGTGTACCCAGTGCGTCCACGCCATTAGTTGTCAGCAGATGAGGGTCCTCATGCGTCATCCTGACAGCTGGCTTGCACGGGCTTGGTAAATAGGCCTGGTTCTGTCATTTCCCCCAAGCTGGAGGCTTGCCTGTTTTAAGGAATGCGTATCTTCCAAGATATTGCAGATGATTGTGTATTAAGTGTTTCACTTTGAAAAGGTTTTTATTAACTGTATACTAATACACTGCGTATTTATTAATTGTCATCTTTGCTTTCCTTACAGTTTTTGGCACTGGGCACACATTATGGCAAGGTTTATTTACTTGATGTCCAGGGAAACATCACTCAGAAGTTTGATGTAGTAAGTATGTGGTATAAAATAGTGTACATGTTAAGTGTCATGCTAAAAATTTGTGATTGTAACAGCTCAGTAGCATAAGAAGGTGGTAATCAGAGTGCTAAGAGTACAGTCTAAAATTTTTAGTATATTCCTTAAGTTTTAAAGATGAACTAGAGAAAGGAATAGCTGTAGATACAATTATATATATATATATATTAGTTTGACTGATGTGTTTATACTTACATACTCTTTGTATAAATTTATTATTATAGACGTTCACTTGACTTTGAATGGAGCATTAAGATAGTACGTATCTGCACATATATTTAATTGGCAGTGTGGAATGTCTAGCTTAGCGCTTCAAATGCTATGACCTTTTAATATAGTACCTCATGTTGTGGTGATCCCCAACCATAACATTATTTTGTTGCTACTTCATAACTGTAATAATTTTGCTACCATTATAAATCGTAATATAAATATCTGTTATTCAGTATATCTTATATTAGACTCCCGAAAGGGTTGCGACCCACAGGTTGAGAACTACTGGTTTAGATAAACTGTCATTAAAACAAAAGATCCTGCTTTTATTAGTGAATAATGCTAACTTACATTCCTGGGAGTTTGTGAGAATTTTGTGTGTGAATCTCTCTTTGATGTCTGAATTGTCTTGCCCTCTCATTGAGTTGCCAAATATGATTGAAGTTTGACTGACTGTTGGTGTATTAGTTTATCTCTTTTAGTGTATACAGTTCAGATATTTTATGTGAATGCTTTTAGGCTTACTTGATTGTGACTTTGGTGTTCAGGATGAAGTAAATGTTACATTTGAAGTTTGATTTTTCTGTTTAATGCCCACCTTAAAGGTATTGGTAACTTTTGTTTTTTTTTTTTTGTGTGACTATAAAAATGTAGAATGAAAAGATGAATGTTTTGTTGGGGGCAGATGTTAAGTTTTTTTTTTAAGATTTATTTTTGTGTATGAGTATTTTGTTTGCATGCATTTATGTCTATCATCTGTGTCCCTGTTACATGAGGAAGTCAGAAGAGGGACTTGGATCTCTGGAACTAGAGTAATAGGATATTGTGAGCCACCACGTGCATGCTCAGAACTGAACCCAGGTACTCTGTTAAAGCTCCAAGTGCTTAACTGCTGCGCCCTCTGTCTCTCTAGTGGGGTAGGGGGAGGCATGACAGATATTAAATACCAATAACAAAGCATTCAGTGCTTGTTGTGACCTATTCTAGGACACTGCACGTGGCACACGGGAGGAAAGGAATGTAGCATCCTGGAAGGGAAATGTGCCCTCTCCCTGCGCCTCTGCACTGCGCCCTCAGGGCAACCTTGGGTTTCGTTTTTTGTTTTTTTTTTTTTAAATTTTTTTTTCCTCTCTTAATTGTCCTTTTCTGGCAAGAGGAATATATTCTTTACTCCCTTTATTCCCTCCTCTCTTACTTCAGACTCTGCCTGTACATCTTGGTGATCTAAGCCCTTGGGTTTTCCACTGTGGTCTGTTAATACACAAGAGGGGGGAAGTGGGGGTGGTGGAGCGTTACACATGACTTCCTAACTTTAAAACAAAGTTTGCCTGAACAGTCTCATAAGTCTTTGTTTGTTTGTTTGTTTGTTTGTTGTTTTGTTTTTCGAGACAGGGTTTCTCTGTAGATTTTGGGACCTGTCCTGGAACTTGGCTTTGTAGACCAGGCTGGCCTCAAACTCATACAGATGTGCCTGCCTCTGCTTCCTGTGTGCTGGGATTAAAGGTGTGCGCCACCACCACCTGGTTCTTAAGTCTTTAATATGCATTGTTTAGAACGTGTGTTTGCCCATGAGGTTTATAGTCATATACTTTTGTTGCCAAGAAGCGGTCTTTGTGTGTACTGAGCCTGTGCCTGGGTTCCATCTTCTGTGAGTCAGCGCCATGTAAGCTAGGTCCTCCGGCAATCGGTGTTTAGCTGGTAGTGATCTTGCCCATGAGATTGGTGCCATGTGATTGGTTGGTGTTCTGCTTGTAGTGATTTCACCCATAAGATTGTCTCAACTTTTGCTTTTGGGCCCTGTCTGCCGCCTTTGAAAACTAAACTTATGTCATGTTTATTGTTTTGTTTCTTTTTTTTACCCCTTTCATTGGTAGATGAAGATGATGATTTGATGAGATTTTTCTTTATTTGTTTAGTCTTTCCAAGAAATTTGATAATTTGCCCTGGAAGAGTTACTTATGTAAGCACATGGCTTCTTGATGGTTCTCATCAGATTAGAATTTTAAGTCTCAACTATCAGGTGGTCATTATCTTTTGAAAGAAGTGCTAATCTCAGTTTCAAATCTGTCATGACATGTGTAAGATAATATAAATCCTTTCTTTCCCACTTTGGTTTTGGTCAGTGTTTTATCACAGCAATAGAAAACAATCTAGGACACTAGTCAAAGTAATTGTTTTTGAGAATTTCATATAGGAATATTATATTTATATCATTTCTCCTCCCTCCTCCCTTCAATTCCTCCTGTCTCCACCCCACACTCCCTTTCAAATTCAAGGCCTTTTTTTCCTTAGTTATTTTTGCTACACATGCACAAAAATACCACCTGAAGAATACTATTAGTGCTATTAATTAATTAATTACTGCTATTAATTAATACTAATATTAATTAGTACTATTAATACTATTATGTATATGTTTCCAGGGCTAAAATTTTAATACATACACAGACTTCTTTTGGTTGCTATGGGAATTCATAAACCTTTTGAGTTTGGGTGTTGAGGAGACTTTCAAAGATCATTCAAAGCATAGAAGATGCAGGTAAGGAAGCCAGTAGCAAATGGATTTATGCTGTTCTAGTATGAGCTCTTTGCCCTTTGCTCTTCAGGTCTCCTTACACGTCTAGCAGAGGTCATCCCTTAACTAAATTTCAGAGGGTGTTTTTGTTATTAGTTCCTTCTGTGAAAGATTTCCTGTCTGTCCCTGCACTTGGTACTTGGCCTTCGTTGGACTGGACTGCACTTTTGACCTTGGATTGTCTTCTTTGGGGTAGAATTAACTCTAATCCAGGAGCTCTTCTTTCCTTCTATTGATATGTAAATGATGTTAAGAAGCTGTGTAGTTTCCAGCCAAGATAACTCTGTCTTCTCTCTCCTCTCCTCTGCGAACACAACCCTAAAAGTTTCCTCTTTCTTTCAGGCTTCCTAAATTGCATTTTTTTATACTCATTCTTTGTTTACATGACTTAATTGTCTTCTCTGTGTTACATTTGGTACATACATTTACATTTTTTACACAAATTGTTTTTGTATCCTTTGAAGAGCTTAGCATATAGTTTTCATAACAGTGCTAACTTCATAAACACACTCTAAAAGTGGTACAATCATGACCTTGCCTGGCAGCACTTCTCATAATGTTTCATAATACTTTAGTTCAAATTTGAAAAATTCCATGTATCAGGACAGTTTTCCGGATAATTGGGGTTTTACAGCTTTCTTCTCACTTTGGAATAGCTATGCATGCTTACATTTGTGATTCTCTACCCGTGTTTTTGCTTACTTGTCCTGTGGCACGTGTGATATCAGGGGTGATTATTTATTGGAAGAATCCTGGGGGTCAGGGCTAAGAACTTCAGCTAGCTCTCCTCAGTCAAAGAAACCATGCTTTACACTGTTGGACCACTTGTGCCTGCTCCCTATCCTGGAGCAGATGTTGACTGTAGTTTGCTATTTTTGCTGTGGCATCATTAATTAGGAAGCAGGGTTTGTATCTGTTGATGTGATCAGAATGATGCATTGTTGGTCCAAATGTGCCGGCACCTATAATTCTTATGTAAGACTGATTGACAGGTCTCAGACTCTCATGCGCTTAGAGAATCTGTTTTCTATATTTGAGCACAGTGTTTTCAGTGATAAGAGATGTGTCAAATGTTGCGATTTACTTAAATGGAAAACATTTGAACTTTTGATAAATGATGCTGAGGAAACTCTCATTTCCAATTTTCTACATTAAATATAATCTTAAGTTTGTGGATTAGGTGCGGGTACCTTGATAACTTTGTGGTGCTCATGCATCTAAGTGAGTAAGAAAATTCATTTGGTATCCAGCCTGCTTGTCTAATTTAGAGTCAAGTGTAGAGCGAGGGATGCTGGAATATCTGACCCTTTTGTGGTCAGTGTGTTTGGGTAGATATCACTTCAGCAGCTAGATTTTAATAGTTTCTTCACAGAAGGAAATATGCTGGAACTTTGCCTGTTTCTAAGTTGAGGTTGAAGTAATTTTAACTTTCCAAAACATGCCGGTGCTGTGAGATGGGCAGTAGCCTGGAGCTTAGCTGCCTGAGACCCGGGGATTATTTACTTCTGCAGACAGAGCACTGTCAGCCTGGTTCTTTCTTTGGGGCTCAGTCATTTATTTCAATGAAAGAGAGATTATGAGCAAGGTGAGACTCAGGAGCAGCAATCACATTTGCAAGAGAGAGACTGAGAACCCATGGAAGCTGGAATGGGGGAGATTTGAGCTTTGGGTGCATGGGTTTCGGGTTGTCACAGTTGAGCTAGACAGGGTGATAGATTCTTCTTCGAAACAGGGAATCACCAGGCTAAGGACTGGTTATCAGAAGGTGTTCATTAAGCATTTATGTATCCTTTGGCATCGTGAGAACAGAAGGGTGGGCTGCAGAGGATAGGTATGTAATAGTTACAAAGACTTTTGGCAGGGCTAGCCAATAGACATCAAGAAGAGAGTGCTGGGATTCAAGAGATTGTCTCTGCAAGGCCTTGAAGTTGAGACAGTTGGGCAATGAAGTGAAACCAGGAGAGTAATGGTAGATCAGGTCTGCTTAGATAGTTCAACAGCGTTTTTACCTTGAGTTTTATTTAGAATACACTTTTTAATATCTTGGAACCCTGACAGAATATGTCTCAAAATAATTGTATATACCTCCTTCTTAATCTGTTTTTCTGATTGAATAGATTTCTTTTTGTAGCACCCTCCCTCTTTTGGAAATTATTTATTTGGCAATAATTCATAATTATCTTTT